GTTTGATAGTCTCTGCCTCCTTTGTTCGGGGCTTTTCACCATCTGAATCCTTTGAAGTCAGTCTAGTGATGAGATCTAGCAATTGTTGACCTGAAAGACCTAAGCCTGCATCAGCTGCTTTCTTGCCAGGGTCGCTTGCTATTACTGTAGGACTGGGCACACTATGTTCTTGGTTTGCATCATCATCATTTTGTCTTTGAACTGGCAATGGTGGCAGTTTTGGAGGGGCTGCTGATCCGGCAGGGGTTGTTGAGAACAAATTGCTCAACCTTTCCTTGGCGTCCATGGCTAAGCTGCTCATACCAGTGTTTGGCATGGGTTCTGCTCCAGCCTTAGTACCGACCGCTGATTTTGGGGTCATGTACAAATCGACATTGTTCCCGCCTTGTGAATCATCAACTTCGACGGCTCTGTCGACATTGATTTCCGGGGCGCTGTACTTGTTGAGCTTCTCCATCAAATCCTCCACTTGTCCCTGCAATTGGAAGTTGAGTTCAGCAGCTTGGTTTTCCTGCCTACTGCATTCCTCTCTAATCTCCTGGATTACAGCTTGTTCCTCCTTCTTAAAACCTTCCATGCCATTCTTTGCATACTCCACTGTTTCGTCCACGATTCGTTTACAGTCTGCCTCGAGGCTACCTCTGAGTTCAGAAAACCTTTGTTCATACTGGGCTGTAACATGGGCTACCTTTTGGTTGGCTCTTTGTTCAGCTTCCAGTGCAACTGCATTTGCAGCATTCTTCAGCTTTGCGTTTGCATCGCTAAGTTCCTGTCTCAGTTTTGCTACCTCATGCTCAGTTGCCGTTTGGGACATTGAATACTCTGACACTAGGTGTTCATGTCTGCGATCAGCTTCTGCACGTTGATGGGCGATTTCGCTAAGGCAAATTCCCTCAAACTCTTGGTACAGTTGCTGGACCTTTTGTTCCATGAGATGTGTGTGCCTCTCCTCTGCCTCTTGCCTGAAAGCATCAATGTTACCTTCGTTGATGTAGGTAAGATTGTTTTGCACGAACTGGAAATAGGCTTGCACGGGCTGTGTGAAGAAACCTTCATCCACTGACATGGGCGTGGGGTTTGTCCCAGCCGGCAAGCTCTGTTGAGAACCAGTTGATGCGGACACTGTTCCGGTTGAAGGCACAAGGGCACCGCCACCTGTTGCATCATGAGTCTTGTCCATGGCTTTAGAGACTACGGCTGATAACCTGTATTTTCAGGTTTCAGCTGGGGTTATCTTATAATCCCAAATAGACTGATAAACCTATGGGGCAAAACTAGAAACCGTTAAGCACCTGCGGCAGCAGAGCTTTTTACTGAGCCGCAACAGCTGTGGTAACATGCTAGTATACATGTGTGTTTTATGTGAGGTGCTTTTACAACTCCGTAGTCTATTCCAACATGCAAAATCCACCCATGTGGAATGCAGGGCAGCAGGTTTTTCCCATTATGCGTTTTTGCAATCACAAGTATATAATTGTTTGCAGCTCTTTGCCAACATCACAGGAAAAATTGAATTCTATCAAAATCAATGTGTAGATACCAGTGGTTTATGTCAGCATGTGACAGCCTTTGCCAAGGAGAAATACGTGTTTTGCTCTTAAAAATTAAACCCTTCTAGTCACAAAACACTGTAATAGCTACCAATGTGTTTGGCAATTTTATGTGGAAAACATATGACTCCCCATGAGGGTTCTGAAAAAAAGGGAAGGGTGGGGGTTCAGGATTGGGTTCGGAGATGGGCTGTGAGTTAGCTACTGTTGAACATGATTGACCTATATTGACCTATATTGACCTGATTGTTTCAGGTACCCTCTGGTAATTTAACATAGCTATTGAAAATGGCCATTTATAGTGGATTTTCCCATTAAAAGTGATTTTCCATAGCTATGTTAGTTGACCAGAGGGTAAATGGTGGAAAGTGAGAAATGGACGACACATGGATTTGGAATGGGACCAGCTGCTTATGAGCTGCTTCTACCAGCCTGGTTAGACGGGGCACCCAATCCCTGTTGTACATGCAAGAAACCCACCTTTGTTGTCAGAAAAACATTGCAGGAATGATTTTCTCTTACCCTCTGCTAAACCAACATAACTATGGAAAATCACCATTGTTGATGGGTAAATCTACTTTTTTAATCACCATGTTCAATAGTTTTTTGTATGTTTACCAGAGGGTACATCATCGTATCACTACCCTTTAGTTACGGGGAGTCCCGTGGCTTGGACGCTGGCCGCCAAGCGAAACCCCGTTCGGAAATGAGCATGGCTAATGCACTTCGGAAATCTAAAAATTGTGGAAATTGGATGAAATTTGATGAAATTACCTTCCAAATCGCAATCCGCCTGGAAGGATGAGAGTTGGAATGGATGATTGTGATAGGATCTTCACAAGAGTGAAGTAATGGCAAGTGAGATAGTATAGTAAAAGTCGTAACAAAACCAATCGTCGATCGTCGTCGTAATCGTCCTAGTTGTAGTAGCAATGACAGTTGTGAATCAGTAGTCGTAGTCATACTCATAGAAAAAAATTGGCGATAATGTTGCATCCTGATAAGTAGCTGCTAGGTCCTAGGTTCGCTTTTGTGGCGCAAAACAACCAAATTATTCTGAACCCATGATATGTTTGGAAGTTTCACTATTGCGGCAAAAACTTTTTGCAGACCAATGTGTTTGTCAAAAAAATGTTTGTCAGCCTTTCCCAAAAAAATCAAATCGCTTATGAAACCTTCATTAAACAACAACTTTTCCACAAAATTCCAAGGCACTGGGCCATGGCCCAATTCACTCTAGTAGGTTTGTTCCCAAGGTTCACAATTGCAGCAAACTTTTCCTGAGCTGATCCTGGACACAAAAAAAGAAAGCCTTTTCCAAAAGCAATTGCCAAGTTCAAAGACAAGGCCTTTCTCAAAAGAATCAGATCGTTTACTAAACCCGTGTTAAAGACAAGCTTGTGCACAAATTTCCAAGGCACTAGACCATGAGAGGGCCCAGATCACCCTAGAAGGTTTGTTGCCCAGGTTCGGAATCACCTCGGAGGTGATCCCGCAGCCAAGCGAAGAAAGATCAGCCTTTCACAAAGCAACCTTTGCTTTCTCTTCCTCGTTCTCGTTCTCTTTCTCTTGTCCTTTCTCTTTCTCTTTTTTTGTCTCGTTCTCTTCCTCTTTCTCTTCCCCTTCCGGTTCCTCTTCCTCTCCCTCTCCCTCTTCCTCTTCCTGTTCTTCTTCCTCTTCCTCTTCCTCTTCCTCTTCCTCTTCCTCTTCCTCTTCCTCTTCCTCTTCCTCTCTCTCTCTCTCTCTTTCTCTTTCTCTGTCTCTTTCTTTTTTCTTGATCTTTCTCTTATTACACTATTACACCTTCAAATCAAAAAAACTTGGGGTGAAAAGGACACAATCAACATGCTGAACCCCATTCACTACAAGTATTACAAGTACTAGAAGTACTACAAGTACTACAAATATCACAAGATATCACAAGTTCATCGGCAAAAAATATCCCGGCAACAAACCCCAAACAGTGTGTAGTGAGGATTATAAAGAGAAAGGTGGAAAGGAGTGGCTGCAAGCTAGCAGGACAACAGCGACCCCAGCAGTGAAAGCATGGTGTTCATTCAAGGTGGTCTCTGGAAGAAGAGATACCTAAGTAAGATTCTGCAAGTTCCCTTTGTGAAGATCTCTGTAGAAGATCAGGTCTCCTTGACAAGTTCTCTGTAGAAGCTGCTTTGCAAGATCCCTGTGTAAGGCTACCTGCACAAGGTGTCCAAAGGAGATCTCCAAAGATTCCAAAGAAGATCTTGTAAGGGATCTCAGAGTAAGATTTCCGTTCAAGCTATCCATCAATGATCTCTGAGCAAGAAAGACCTCTGCTCTCTTCACCAAGTCTCTGTATAAGAGGTCTCCTGGCAAGATCTCTGTAACAAGATCTGTATAAGAGCTCTGTTGGCAAGATCTCTGTACAGATCTGTATAAGAGGTCTTTTGGCAAGATCTCTCAAACAGATCTCTTGGCAATATCTCTTTATGAGATCTTTGTGCAAGCTCTCTATAAAAGCTCGAATATTCTATTAATAATACCTACCATTCAGGGCCTTATTCATACCATGGTATTTGGTCTTAATTCAGGGCCTTAATAGTTAATACCATTCTCGGAATTTGTCTGGAATTTCAGGGATGGGAGTTAAGGTAGCATGAATGTTTTGGTGGACGGCAGGTAGGAAGTATCACCCATATTTAAAACAGCAAAATCTCCGGAATTATCTCAAAGAACAAGGGTTTTATATTTTGTCTACGGTCTAATGTTCCGGCGTGCTTTGAACATCTGTTAGTTGTTCCATCGCGAGGGAAGAGAAAGAGGAAGAAACAGGTGGATTAGAACCAGGTTTATTGCTATCTGGGCTGTTCTGAATGGGCGGAAGCTGCAACGTCATAACAAAACATACCAAAACCATCCGCAACCCGGAACTACCCAGTTATTCCTGTGTGGATCACAAGCATGTCCAATCATTCTGTCACGCGATAGCTCGATTCGTAATTTGATGGACTGCATGCAAATCTTCTGGCCGACAGACATTTTACATTAAAATCAAATTGAACCTATCCAGCACTTAGGCGGTGGTGATATCATCGTGATGATTGGCCCCCCGGGGTATTGTTGATGATCCCGCCCGCACCGAAAATGCCGAAGCATTATTAACCGGATGCAAGTGCTGCTAAGCCTTAGCTTGGGGTGCATTTTTGCTCACAAATTGTGTGGTGTTCAACATTTTAAAAGTCAAACGATGTCAAGTTAGGCTCAGCATAGGTGCCCCTATCAAGCAAGCCGGAGCAAGCACTTCCGGTGTGGGCAATTGTCGCCGTGAAGTGACCAGAATAATCCCATCTAAAATGCTTCGCTCCCAAACATTCCCCATGATAAATCATCAAGCTGCATAATGTGATAACTCCAACAATAAACTATCCTCAATATCATCAGAAATGGGTTGTAAACCTTACGTTACGGTTCTGCCTTCAAGATCTGGTCGTGTGTGGCCTTGCCCTTTGCGTAGTCATAAGCCGTGCGACCCCAGGTGTCTCTCAAGGTGGGATCTGCACCGAAGAGGAGAAGCTTCGATGTCATGTAGGCATTGTTCTGCTTCACGGCTTCATGCAGTGGGAAAGTCACGAAGATCACGCCTTTCTTTCCGTTGGTATCACCTTAAACAAACCACAGCTGGTAAGGCCCGGAGTTGTTCAAAAGCCGGTCCACATCGGAATTTTTGTTGGATCCAGCGGCATCTGAGGTCCCCACCGTTGGGAAATTTGTTGGCTTTCAGGAACAAGCCGATCTGCTGGCGCGCGTCGGTCAGCTCCCTCTGGTGCTTTGAGACGATTTTGTCCATCTTGCGCTGTACCCCAGTGATCGCAATTGTTGCGCTCTCCGGGGGCGACTGGCACATCTTCACTTAAATTAAGGTGTGGAAAAACGGGTTCCTTGGCATGTGAATCTTGGGTCCCCAAAAAAGGCTGCGAGACAAGGCACCCTGCTGACACATGCCCCATGTGCATGAAATATAGACACTTGCTAGGAATTGCGGGAAAAAAATGGAATATTCAACAATACCCTCAACACACCAGGTGCTGTTTGGGTTAGAACCCCAAATATTAAAAGAGGATTTGCTAATCCCACCTTGGCATTACTTAATTAACATCCAAAATCCGTGGGCTGGAAGGTCTTGAAATTCTTGAAATGTCTTGAATATCAGCCCATACCCATTTTGTTCCATTGCCTTTTTCCTCTTGGCACACTTTGTTATCAATGGTGGTGACAGCAAAACGAGTTCAGCATTGCTGTGGCTCGCCACCCACTGATGGTTCAAACAGGTGTGCACCTGATCTTACAAGTGAGGAAGTGCGATGACCCCTACTGTTACATGTCCCTTTTGGGTCCTTTTCGGCCTTGTTAATTTCTATTGTTTTCTATTCCTTACGTTTTAGAAGCTGAAACGCCTTCCAAGATGATCCAGAACCGTTTGGCATATTTTGTGAGCTTCGATTTTAGAGTTGGATACTTCGAAAAGATTCACCAAGTAATGTAATTGTGGATTCAGTTGGGGCTAGAGCGTTAGAGTGAATGCCAAAAGCAAAATGTTCAGCCCGACAGGGCATGAAGAGCTCATGCTCAAACAAACTCACCCTACCACGACGCCGTGTTGAAACCAATTGTTGCGTGTTGAAATTTGATCTCCATAAACCTTTGATCTCCATAAACACCGCGTATACATTGGATCTGGATCAACATAATTATAGATTAATTAACAAGAGATTCCTTATCGTTGTACTTCTGGTTGTACTATGTTTACCAGCCATGAGTCATGAGCACTGTTCGGACAAATGGGACCTCGATTCATTGACCCCAAAAGTCAGGGGACGTTACTCTTCCTCAAGTGCCCGCGTTCTTGCGGGAAAGAAGAGCATTTGTGCTTCAAATCATGCATTCGTGCAGAGGCAGGACACAAACGATCCGCTTCGCAATTTGACCGCTTAATTCCGAATTTCGTGAACATGAACAAAAACGGGTATGCCCCACCAAGAATAATGAGATACAAAGACGAGGGCAAAGCAGCCTGAAGTTAAAACATGCTATTACTAAGACAAGCGAGAAAAAAAACTGTTGATGTCCCATGTAATTCACACTAAAATTCGGCTTACATCGGCTTACCCTCTCTCTCTCTCTCTCTCTCTCTCTCTCTCCATCGCCATCCCAGAGGCTTACCCTCAGCGAGGAATTTTGTTCATGTGCGGGATGCTGAAGCATGTCCAACCCATCAGCCTATATCGGCTTGAAACGCCAAATCAGAAGGAGTCCGGGACGTGCCCCGGGCAAGTCCCACAAGTTCGTTGTTCAAATACTTTCAAACATGTCGAAACTTGCGTACATCCCAGTGATCCCTCGGACTGGACTTATATCAACTATCAATTGACGGGGCCTCCTCACCAACTGGGCATGTTGCCTCGGGGAAGTCCCACAAGTTCGTTGTTCAAACATGTTCAGCCGTTGTTCAGCCATGTTGAAACTTGCGTACATCCCAGCGAACCCTGGGATTGGACTTATATTAACGATATTACCAATAAATTGACCGGGCAGCTTCACCAACTGTGAGCTTTCTGGCCGCCGTCACATAATGGAGCAACAGGTCACAACAGATCGCAACAGTCGGATCTTGAAAGAGATATCACCCCGGATCCATCAGGCGGTCACCACATGTCGATGTTTAATACTCTTGTTACCTCCAGCAAAGTTGGTTTGCTGTATTCAAAACGGATTTACTAATCCCACCTTGACATTACTTAATTAACCTCCAAAATCCGTGGGCTGGAAGGTCTTGAAATTCTTGAAATGTCTTGAATATCAGCCCATATACCCATTTTGGTGGAATTTTCCATTGCATTTTTCCTCTTTGCGCACTTTGTTAGCAATGGTGGTGACCGCAAAACGAGTTCAGCACTGCTGTGGCTCGCCAACCACTGATGGTTCAAACAGGTGTGCACCTGATCTTTCTGGTGCATCTAGATAAATCGTCTTACAATGACAAGTGAGGAAGTGCAACGGCCCCTACTATATCTGAATCTACTATTACATGTATCTTTTTGGCATTATGGGTTTCTATATACTCATTGTCGTTTTGGAAGTTGCTTTCTATTCCTTATCGTTTAAGAAGTTTAAACACCTTCCAAAATGATCCAGAACCGTTTGGCACATTTTGTCAGCTTCGATTTCAGAGTTGGATACTTCAAAAAGGTAATGGTGGATTCAGTTGGAATGAGAGCCACTGGCAAAATTTTCAGCCCAACAGGACATGAAGAGTTCATGCTCAAACAAACCCAACCTACCACCATACTGTATTGAGCGGACGGTGAGCAAGAGCTGTTGGCGCGTGGGAGATTGTGGGAGTAGTCGAGAAGAGCAACAGTTCGGTCGCCAAGCGTGAAGAAGAAGATAGAAGAAGTACGTTGCGAGAAGGCATCAGTATAGGAAAGAGGAGGTTTTGGACTTCCGTCCCGGCGATAGATGGATGGGGGGAGGGATGGATGGAGAAGTAGATTGATAGAAGGACGAGTGGCTACATGGATGGATAAAATATATATATATATATATGATTCCAGGATAGATAGATTGATAGATGGATAGATTGATAGCAACATAGATGGGCAGAGAGATAGGGAGATTGGTTTATAGTGGTGACAGCTCTACAGTCGAAGGTCAGCTGAGAACTGGGCAAGAGTTTTGTTTGCATGAAACCGTAGGTTTACATACGTGCAACTCAGAGGCACAGATGAACTGTGACATGTGCAGCAGTTGTTTGGTGCGCAAGCTCTTTGTCATGATGTCAAGGCATGTGTCGTGCATGCG